TGATTTTTTAGGAATCTTAAGGCAATTTAAATGCAGTTTCTCAACTAGATTTTGAAATAAATAGAAATAATACAATACGTAATTAAAATCGAAATAAAATTTAAGCGAACAAGTTTTTGTTGAAACTATTATCATTAATGTTTGCTTACTAAATTCTGACTTGTGTGTATACATACACAGTGATAATGTTAATTAAATAATCAACCATTTTTCCTTGTTATAAAGATAAAAATTGCGTTACAACAAAACTACTTAAGTACACACATAGAATTCTATTTTAAAAAAGAAATATATACAAATGAGGATAATTCTGCAACAACTTCTTTAGCTTTAAACCATATCATTCACGTATTTACTTATCAAAAAGGATTTATTCAATAAGTTTCGAAATTTATAACCGCTAACCACTTGATAAATTATATTGAGTAAAAATGACAATAGTTTTAAATGGATGTAGATAAAAGATAATATGCGTTTATCTTTAGCAGAATTTATTAAAAAAATATATTTAGACAATGCATATCACGTTTGTGTAATTTAATATATGTCAACTATTTCTGATAAATAAATAATTGGCACCAAGAATTTTTGGTACATTAGTAACACTTAAATCCTCAATTACACTGAGTGCTTAAGAAGCCTACCAACCGCCGTTGTAATATATAATAATTTGTATGACAGACTTACGCAATACGACATTAAAATGTAAACAGTTAAAGTTCTTATCACATATCTAAATCACCGTAATCCAATCAAGGCCTTACTAGAGCACAGTACTTGAACTGGTGTCCTTAAATATTATAATAATATTGAAATAATAAATTTAACCGTACAACCGGCAAAATGAAAAGAAGAAACTATAAAGTGCATCTCCTAACCCTTTATTTCCTAACCCCTTAACAAACAAAGGGCAATATTTATGATTTCGCTTTCATTTTTATAGGTAACTCCCACTTCGGAGGGTTCAATAAAATTCTAGTCAAGTTTTTTTTCTATCTGTTCCACTTCTAATTGATAGCACGTGCATGGTTTCCGTTCAGCCACGTGTCCTATTGTAAATTATTAAAATATTCGTTCCGCCCGAATTCCATCGTGGCCCTTTGATACGAATGATATGATATGCAAGTAGAAAACGGGATAAAAATAAACTAAAGCACAGGAACCACTTGACATGAAAATAAAGGCAATTTCGTTGATGCATGTTTTATTTTAGAATGGCCTTAACGGTTGGTCTTTGTAAGTTATTGGCTCTATTTGAATATAATGTCTAACAAACCAATCAATCTGCATTTGAATGCATAACCTTCACCAATTGGTAATCAGTGCTTATACATACATATGTCATTACCGTCAAACGCACATGTTCATTAACAAGTTCCTCAGACTTTACTTTAATAAACACTCAAGTATCTATAAATAGACTAATCCACTCTCCAGATGTTTTCCTGGTTGTTTTTTGTCACCAAACATGTCTTGCCAACGTGGGAACTGGAATCGGGAAAAAATCTTCACAGATGTGGCGAATCTTGGTCTTATAACACGTGGCAGACAGGAAGAATCGATAATTTATGTGGTAGACGCGTGCTACACTTGTGTCAGTCTAAGCATAAGTTAACGGACTGTGAAATTGACCTACTGTTTTTATTACTAGGTGCGGATGGACCCTTGTAGGTAAAGTCTTACGTCAATTAATTTGTTCCGCTTTGTTGGAAGACAGTAGGTAGCAATTATTTATCGTTTAATTGGGTATATTGTGTTAACTTGTTCGGCAAATGTTATTATACGAAGTGAGTTATGTAGTTTAACTGATTACTTTTAATGAGCTGCCGATATATCATTTATTAAACAATGTTCAAGACTTCGTTGAACATCACAATGTTTGTTAACTTTATTACTTAGGTTGATTTTTTGAGAGGAAAATTGGAGAGGGATTGTCAGACTCAATACTCACTTAAAACCACCCTGTTCCTTCTCCAGCATCTAAGCAGATGGTAGGCCTCGGTACAAACATTATTAAAAAAAAATCAAATTTCAGGAAGTCCAATGATCACAAAATCTCGAAATTTAACTTTGTCCGTATAGGCACGTATGCGTTGTAATGCAGTGGTGTTGACATTTGCGGATACCACTAATACTTAACTGTATCTGATTTAGATTCAATGCCGAACCTAATTTGGGTTTGAATCCAGATTTGCAACTAACTCAGCCCCTGCTCATGGTCTAATGACACAATGACATAACACATCCTCCTTTCCACATTCTCTTCATTTCTCTCTCACTTCTCTGGTAACTCATACCTTCCATGTTACGTACGGTCCTCCAATTAAAGTTTTTATATTACAAAGTCAACAGAAATATCGAACAGCGGAAAATGCCACAATCCTGTATCATTTTACATGCGATATTATCAGTGAGTAGTTTCGTGTTTATATAGCAATAAAGCCGATCATCACATACTTATGTTGATATCGATATCTATCAAAGCAATAAAAAAGTTTTTAGGATAAATATGCACTGGAAGGGTTAACGTCCCTGCGATGTTTTGGATCCTTTTCACATGAAAACGTCATTAGGATGTCAGACCTTCGGGTATCATATTTAACTACCTGGATAACTTAGGTTTTAAAAGTCTTACCAAAAGGGTCACTTACCCTAATATAGTGACTAATTCAAGGAAGAATGTTGTTTGTGAATGAAACGGGATCCTTTAAAAATATATCTTAAGAATTTTATCAATATTTAAGGAAACAGATAAGCCCGGTATTTTCCTAAGAAATAGTAAAATGATGCAAATTTTTTGGATTCGGTTATTATGTTATCAACAAACTCGTGTCTATTGGTAATCTGGCACAATCCCATATATTGAGTGATCATTGAGAATTTTATAATTTATAGATATTGTAAGTAGTCGTTAATTCCATTTATAAAAACATAATGAATGATACGCTATTTTCCAATTCCTAGTGAAATTCTTGTGGTACCTACTATCGAAATGTCAAGAAGATAATTTTCTAATTAAAGTAAGTACTTAAAGACTTAATTTTCGTATGCCCACCGGCACAATGTAGCGAACTTCCTGTAACTCTAACACCTTTTGTACTGTACACCTACATTGACGAATAAAAAGATTTTGATTTTGATTTTGAAAAAGGATAATCTTTGAATTTCGTATCGACCAATCAATGAATGAAAAGTATATATTTCTTTTCAATAGTTTTATTGTATTGAAGTCATAATAATTTATTTCTTAACTAAGGAAACTACCTAATCGCCGAAGTTTAATACTTACACTTAATTAATCTTACTGCCAATTCTCGGAAGCATAAAACCCAATTATGGTATTAAATAATACAAAATAAGCACAAAATCGCATTTAATGAAGCATTTTTTTATCTTTAACAAGGCAATAAAGCGTTATCGTGACAATATTTAAAAATATACATTATATCAATGAAATGCCTACCCTACGTATGAAGATAAAAGTTTATAAAAATAATCATTTTTACTGCATTTATCGATGTTTCACTGGTTACACTAAGACCATAATGCCACAAACGTCACTCAAAGATACGCAGACTTTACGAGAAATGATATTATCGCACTTATCATTTTGTTTGCATAAAAAATAGTTTTGACACACTGTTAAAATTAGGTAACTACTTAGGTACGTTTTTTTTTTTGTTATGTGAAAATCATCAAATGACTTCTCCCGCCCAGAGTAAGGCGAGAGAGTCAGATTCTTACTGGTTAAAAAACCCAAAACCCCGTCCCTTCTCCTGCACTGGGCCGAGCCCGCGGTGACTCATTGCGCTTAACCTGCAACCCCAGCTGAACATCAGCCCTATAGGGCCCCGGCTGTGGTGGTCTATTGGCTCTTTGAGGCGCGCGCGGAACGCTACGCGCCGTACGCTCGGGTCTGGTTCTGGTCGGGCGGCGAGTTACCTAGGTACCTAAACCAAAGGTCCATAAACTAAAAACTATTTTTAACACTACTAACTTTAACGCTAAGTTTATAGTTGATAAATATGAAATGGTATAAACCTTCTATTGTCTATACCTTCTAATTATAATAATGTATCATTAAAATATTGTGTCCAATAACGTTTACTAATTTACTATTATACATAGTTCAACTTCGAATTTATCATCATCATCAAGAGCACGCATCCACCGAGGAGAAGGAACGTGGTAGTTTTTAGTCAGTAAGAGACTAAAACTCTTTCTGTACTCAGAAATCCCATGTATAACAACGAAACGACATAAAGTATCTACTTAAATAATCCGATCATGTTGCCTTTTAACTGTCTCACTTGACCCTGGTTCAAACACCAACAGGATGTACTTTCAGTAGTGATGTGGTCATTTAGTCTTTATTTGATTCCTCGGCCTGGGGGCTCTAAATTAGGAGCTACCATAGAATTTGTCCGGTTACATAAAAGCCCTGGCGCACACCTACGAGCCTAACCTACCTTACCTATCCTACCGTTACCCTAACCAAACATTTAAAAGTCCCAACGAGGGAAAATGGCATATAAGTAGGTGTAGAGCCTAAAATGTTCTCATTCGCTGTTTTGAATTTCAAATAGCTTGTTTATATAAAGATTTGATTTCTATTTCAGTAAACACCACGACGTTAAAGAACCCATTAAGAAACAAGGTCAAGAAACGAGGAAAGGTTACCATAAAAATTTAATTAATGTACAATCCCTCCAAATATATGCGTATCGCAATAAAGTGACCAATAAATAACAATTTATAATACACATATTATTTGGTACCACGCACAAGTCACGAGTAGGTACCGAACGAAATAATTGTTGTGAAATATTAAGTCATGTCAATGAACTATTGACATATTGCATAATTTATTATAACGGCACAAATTGTTAGAATATTCATTGATAAATTATGTACTTACGTGTTCGTATTTGAAGATATATGTAGGTTGTATACCTAAGTCTATGTGTAGTGTTACACAATAAACAATAAGAACGAGGTCATTCTAATAAAATTAATCTTTAATATCGGATTTCTATTACTTTAACTCTTATAGATAAATACAATCTTATAATTACCTAGATCACAAAATGATTTCCACATCTAATACACTCGTAATGAATTTCAAGGAAACATATTATTTATTAAATAAATTATAATTATTGTTGAAATCCTTCAACATACATATCTAATTTATGTACTGGATCATCGTATCTATGTTCATTATAACTAAACTGTGACCAATGAGAATCAATCAAACGTTACAAGCATATCAAACTAGGTTAACTGAATCATACAAGTACTCATACCCACACTGGTACTTCTTTGTTACAAGCCACAATGAACATTGTACAATTTTTGACAAAATACTTCATTTAAATAAATACGACTCCTTTGATCGCTTATACAAACAGACATCTACAACCTTAGGTTTACACTATCACGTCTGTACGTCATCCAGGAGATCAGTTTCGTAAATATAACTGACACAAACAGTCAGCTAATGTCGTAACCGCTACTTCTTAGATATCTACTTCTTTACTATTATTTTTCTTACCATACCTAAAGTATTCTTCAATTTGAAGTAACGTTTTATCTTTTGTTTCAGGTAAATATAAATATAAGAATATGGTACCACACAGTGTTGATATTCCATAGAATAGATAAGTTCCATGGTGGCCTATGCTCAAGAACATAGAGGGAGCTGTCTTTACTACTGCAAAGAAAGCAATTGATGTCATCATAACACTGATGCCTGAACCTACTCCTTTAGTTTCAACGGCAAACAGTTCACCGACCATGTTCCATGGAAGCGGTGAAATTCCTAGATTTGATACAATAATATAGAAAGCCATTAAACCTAAAGATATAAACGGTGACTTGTCACGGATAACTCCAGAGTTATGCAGGTATAAATACAAAGCTAATAATATTAAAGATAATGACGTGAACACTCCGCTGAAAATTGCCATGGGTCTTCTTCCCGACCTCCTTAGCATCATGCAGGCCACTGCTAGGGACACACATCGTAACATATCTATACTCAACATGGCGGCGTATGCGTACGAGCTATTTGAACCCCTGCCGATAAGTTCTTTCATCATATCTGTTGTATACGCACATATAACGTTAACTCCACATAGTTGCGTAATGACGAAAAATGTAGTCATTATTCCCAATGGCTTATAAAATTCTGGCTTCTTAATGTTTGCAGCTAAAGTTTTCAATTTGCCTTGAGTTTTTGATTTCGATGTGAGATCTGCTATCATCTTGTCCAGCTCCGTCTTCATGGCCACACTGTTTCCTCTGTACCATTGGTACGACATTATACATTCATCGATTCGGTTTTTAGATGCCAACCATGAAGGTGATTCTGGCGCGTAATAAAGGATGATTCCACCAACCAGAGGGAAGAATCCACAAAGCAACGAAGCTAAACTCCAGTGAAGGAATGTACCGAATAAATGTGACATGAAGACACCCACTGCGATTCCCAAAGAGAGAGCTGCTAAGAACAGTCCCCTGTAAGCTGGAGAACTAATTTCTCCCACGTACACTGGACCTAGAGGGCCAAGCCATCCTTGACAGAATCCAGTGATGAATCTTCCTATTAATATTAAGTACATTTTGTCGTAGGAAAATCCAATGATCAGCCATCCCGATACAAAGGTAGCTGCTAATAGTAGTGTAGATAGTCGTCTTCCAAGCCTGTCCATTAAAAGACCTGCCATCAGGTTACCGAAGAAGAGTGCCAAGGATGATATCGCGGCTATAAAGAAAAAAGAAAAATTAAGTTCATACAAAGTCATTGTTTGATTTTTTTATAGGTTCAAGAACAGTCAAAATATACACGTACCTACCCATGATACCAATTCGACTGAGAAGTTTTTCTTTCCCTTGGCATGTGCTAACTGTGGTATTAAGATAGCAGAGATGCCTGATGTGCCGCCAGCGCCTAGGGTGAGCATGAACACGCCAAACGAAATGATTGCCTGAAACAAAATAAATAAGGAATTAAATGCCAAAAGGAATTCTATGTGATCCGCAAATTCTTATACCGGGCTTAGTTTGTATATGAATTTGTATGCCTTTTAACTGATCGACAACACAGGAAAAAATCATAGTGCAGTACAACACCAAAAAAGTGTCGGTCTACATGTCAGGAAAACCAAATGTTTTTTGTCTAGAAAACATGTAGACAGCGCTACATAAAACAAAACTCTCAAATTTTATATGTTTTGATTTAGTTGTGTTTTGTGGAGAGAATTCCCTCTGTTATCCTTATAGTATATTACAGAGGGGGTACCTAGATAGGGACATATAATTACTATTAGGTGTATAAGCCAAACAAGCCTGAATAACGAAGTCTTCGATCAACTTTGATCATTAAATCACGAGTTAATGCGTACAATGGCAGTGATCTTGAAGAGCAATGTAACAAATACATTGTAACAGTGACAGGAGTGAACTCTGTGCGTAATCGTACACATGCACGTGTAACCCATCGCTATCTAATAGTAAGTAGGTAAACAATACTACAATACGTATAGTACAATAAGTAACATCATTATGATAATTGTAAATATTGCGTACAAGTAATATCTGTTCACTAATTAGGAAATAACTTGAAATTCTACATGTAGTAGTTCGTTAAAAACTTAATGTTTGCTTTATAATTATTTTATAGGTAATCCATCCTTATTTCACGCGAAATGACTCTCTAGACGGATAATTATTTTTTAATTGTTTGTAGTTACCACAATAAAGATTATTCGAAATTTAAATTTTAAAAACGTAAATGGAAATTGCGAAATAGTTTCGCCGTTTCCGTTTCAAAGCCGTGGCAGTTCACTAACAAAAAAATAAAGCTGAAATCGAGATAACCTAGCTAGCACCTAGTCTTGAGTAAAGAACTACTAATATTTGAAACCCCTTTATTTAAGAAAGCTATAACTAACTATATTGCATCAAAAACTTCATTCGTATTGGCGACTACTGAGAAAGGACTCAGATGACCCTCTTTACCTCGTTGTTTAGCACTTTATGGTTATAATTTCATGATATGATATTGTATTAACAATTTTATTACTAATGTTAATTAATTTATATTACAAGAAACTTAAAAAAACACAATAAACACTGCTATGGAATATTATTAGATTTCACACCTGTGTTTACGACAGACCTCTTAAAACAAATTTAACATTTTAATGATAATAAAATCTGTACGTAGTTTTATACATATACATATACTAGGTTTTGCCCTCAACTTTGTTCGCGTGTAATAGTGACGTCCTGCAGATTTTTTGTTTTAAAACTATCCTATGTCCTATCTCGAGTTCTAAACTATGTCTGTACCAAATTTCACAGAAATCGGTTTAGTAGTTTAGGTGTGAAGAAAAGACAGAGTTACTTTAGCATTTATACCTATAATATAAGTTTGGATTTGGATTTTCATATTTTTCAGTAAACTACGTTATTAAATGCTGAATTCTCTGATTTAAATTTCTCAAAACTTGACCTTTTGAGTAGAATTTTCACACGTGCTTAGTGTGAGGATAAAGAATGTCACTAGACTTTAGATAATAGATAACAATGTTTCATAGTGCTTTAGATTAGGAAATTACGACATGCATTAGGTACATGAATGTCAAGTCTATCATGAAATATTATAGCAGCGGCTGTTTTTCCAATTCATAAAATCCCCATTTTCAAAAATTTGTTCATTTTTAGTTTAACATTTGAATTAAAAACATTAGAATTTACCACGACATGGCAAACAGAAGTTTCTACTCTCGTCTTATGTATAAATGTGGGAAAACCATGCTTCGGCACAAATAGGCCACCTTGACCGGAGTCATATCAAGGCCACACGAAATACAAGCATGAAACGACACTTACATTATGTTTCGCCGAGTGAGTGAGGTTACCAGAAGCTCAATCCTTCCCTCCCCCATCCACAATCCCCAACTACCACAAAAAGCCGGCAAGGCACTTGTTACCCCGTTGGTGGTGGCGAGTCCGTACAATTAGGTGAACCGTCTGCTCGTTAGCCGATCCGAATAGCGTATCCAATAAAAATTACATAACAGTCTTATTAGCGGTTTATTACCATAGGACATTTATCATTGATCCAAATGCCTTTGATCTTGCAATCTAGGTTCACCAGATTTATTGTAGATTTATTGATCTAAGAAATTCGATTACGAAGATCATTAATGTATCACTTTTAGGTTTTTTTGTGTAGGGAAAATCATCAAATGACTTATGAGAATGTCAGACTCTTGCTGACTAAAAACCCCCCTATTCCTTCTCCTGCTCTGGGCCGAGGTCGCGGTGCCTCATTGCGCTTACCCCGCAACCCCGGCGATCACTTTTAAGTCTGTTGTGTTAAAATTATATGAATTAACTTAATGTAGGACGTTCGACTTGATTCAATATAACTCTAGGCTTCCTTTTTGCGACGAGTATTCAAAGGTGATACGCTAAGATGTATATGACATGCATACTAATACCTAGTATTAAAATATCGCTGGATATATTTTTGGAGTTCATTGTTACAACTTATGATATTGTACTAGCCACTGCTCAATTTGAATCAAGGACATAGTTATAAAAACTTAATGTTTAACGCCTCGTTCTTTCAAGATTTTTTAAGAGATATACTAAACTAGAATCTGTGCTAATGGTTACAGGCCTACATTTGGTTTTAGTATATTTTAGCTATGTTATGCTGATGGCGTATAAAGCTTTATACTTTGTTCCCATTCCTCAAACCAGTCATATATCCATATTAATCCAAATATTAGAAATGCGTCTTTTCTTCACGCCTAAGCTACTGAACCGATTTCTGTGAAATTTGGTACAGACATAGTTTGGAACTCGAGAAAGAAAATAGAATTTTTATACCAAAATTCTGCACTATTCCACTTAAAGAGAGTCGCGGGCAAAAGCTAGTTTATGATAAATTTTATCATAATCGATTCAGTTGTTTAGCTGCGAAAGCGTGACAAACGGACTTTCACGTTTATAAATGCGGGTTTTTATTTTCACACGCATGTTAAAGTTTATAAAATAATTTACATGCAAATGTCTACTAAAAATGTCATCTATGTATTTTACCTATCTACCCAGATTCGGTTAAAAAACTGTCTAGGTCAAAAACCATTTAGATATTAACATTAAATCTGGCTAATAAATATTTAATTTGCAATTATTTACGTGGTTTGCATAAAATTCTGCAAGAATTTTTATCTCTTATTTTTGTATTTTTCGGATTAACTTGTAATATGATACTTGCATATTTAAGGAAAAATAAAACTTAAGATGTAAAATCCTTTCGAAACGAAACCAGTCATTTCGAGGTGACTCGTTTAAAAATATCGAACAAACAACTTTGGCCTTTAATTTAATAGTGTTATTACACGAAATCGGTTTTATACCTGCCGACGTGGTTTCTTTATTTTACAGGCTGCCAGTCCTTACAATATTCCATTTTTAAATATATTTAATAATTTTAGTACAACTTATATTTTTTATTTATTTCTATAATGGGTATGTTTTTTTACATTTTCTATTCCCATTTATTGGGAATCATGTATTGTGAATTAAAGGTGTAACCTTTACTTAATCAACAGCCGATAATTTTTTTACTAATTAATGGTAATTTTAAAGGAAGTTATTAAACTGATAATATGCGCCGAGGAAACCAATACAATGCATTAGATCCGGCCGTTAATCTCTCATAATCTACCAACTAGGTGATGGTCAGTTATTTGTTCACCAATTATATCTACGTTAAAATAAAATATAACAAACCTGTGTCCACTGTTTACCGAACGTTTATCGAAGAAAAATTATATTTTCATATTTATCGCACATAGTATGCAAATTTTTATAAAAAAAAATATTTATTATAATGAATTATGAATTGTTTAATACATGTCACTTATATCAAAAGTTAAAGCTTTTTTTTTTAACACACACCTGTCTTCTAAACGGCGATCGCTGATTATTGTTGACGCATTCATTCTTAACGTCACTTTGTTCCTTTTCATTTTCCGCGTTTTTATTAATTTTCTCTAACTCTGGCACTGTAATGTCACCCATGTCTGATAGTTTCCGCGGCACTGCATCACACATGATCCGAAACAACGACTTTATGAACCTCCGAACGCTTTGGAGATTGCGTTTTATCTTATCACCCACTCAAGTTAACCGTCGCTCTGTCGTGTAATGGCATTTGTATTTTTGTAATCAAATATAAACTGCACTGAACTGAGGAATTTTTGAAAACGGGTTGTAGAACTGGTTCTTTGATTGAACTTGTGATGGAGGTCGAGAATGGGATCTCTTCGACGGCGACACTTCTACAATGTCAAGAGAATCAAAACAAAAGGAGAATTTAATTATATTCCCTGTTTTTTATTATTTTTTACATTTGCTTATTTTAAATATAATTTTATCCAATTATTTTATAATGTAAAATGGAATATGTTTTGTATTCAAGTATTTAGAATATCACCGTCAAAACACGTGCTGTCGTTTCCTATTTCGACAGGCAACTTATTTAAAATTCACTCGTCTCGTGTCTGTGTCTGGTCAAGTTTAATATAGGTATATACTTAATGACTTCGGAGTGAATGGGCGTTTTTTTGTTGACGCCGTCTCCTATTTTATTATATAATAAAATTCAAATTAAAAATATTAATTATACAATAGAAATTAATCTCTGTTCATCAGATAATGTGAATGAAAGATCAAATCAAGAGACTTATCTTTACTTAATTAAGATGAGAATGATAATTGTGATGTCATAATTTTGTTGGAGAAATGTGTCATGGTCACTATAGATCAATATCTATATATACCTCTACTTAACTGAAATGAAAAAAAAGTATTTAACCCATGGTATACATAATTATATAAGCGTGTGGCATATATATATATATAAGCGTAAAACAATGTATTGGCATATAAGAGGGTAAAGAACGTCGGCCGTTTTTTTTGAACGTTATACATATTTTGGCAGAAATTAAAATAATAAAAATCTGTAATGTCGATTTACAGTCGGCAGTTCGATGTGTCAACGTCCTGTTTACTGAAGATCTGAAGAAAAACTTGGTCTAGTTGGTTCTAGTTCTGCTGCCAAAGTTGGCCAGCAAGTATTTCAATCCAATTCATAAACATTTAACGAAAACAGTTTACGTTTGTTTTTGTGCTAGGATGATGATGATAGCGGAGTGCGCGCTGCACTTATCTCCCATAGGTGCAACAATCACCGAATTTAGCCACTCGCACAAGCCGCTCATGTATGTCTCTCGTTCATGCCTCGCTCTCGCTTGTGGAACGCGACAACGAGCGTAACGGGACAATGACGTCAATAGACGTTGTATAGAGTTATTAAATGTGGGAGAGCCATGCTTTGCCACGAATGAGTCGGCTCGACCAAAGTGATACCACGGCCCCACAGAAAACAAGCGTGAAACAACTACAGCGTTGTGTTTCGCCGTGGGAGTGAGGTTACCATCTCCAAATCCCTAATCCCTAAAAGGTCGACAACGCACTCCTAACTCCTCCATTGCGCTGATTGCTTACCATCAGGTAATCCGTCTGCTCGCTTGCCGACCTATTACATAAAAAAAATTAGACGTTGTCTCGTCAAAAAGCTGAAGTTTTTAAATTAAATAGACCATATTATAATCTAGACAAGGCGAACATTTTAATAACATAATTCTCAGTTCTCTGATTAGACTAAAGCATGCAGTAATCGAGGTATTACCAATATATCAACGTGTGTAAGTATGATAATAGTTATCTATGTATGTATATATAATGTGTACTAATGTTATTTACCAACAAATTATAATAATGAAGCTTATCGGTACTTTAGCGCCACTTTCTAATTTGGATTATTTTTTAGATTTTTGTGATAATCCAGCTTTTGAATCCACGACACGGGCGTACGCTTAGGTCTGGTTGTGCTCGGGCGGCAAGCTACCCTTACTCCGCCGTTTGCAGGCCCGACGCCTAGATTGCCTTCTGGGGTACTGAGGATATGAGAGGGATAGTTCCCTCATCTCACGCGCTGTGCCTCCTTTTTTAGATACTATGGCACTTTGCAGAAGGAGGAGACCTCAATACCTCTTGCTCCACACCATGGCCGGGCGCGAGAGGTTCCCCCGGGTGGTCCTCGCAGTGACTCAGAACTCGTTTTCTGCAAAACCTGTTATTTCGACGAAATTTAAATGTATATGTATGATAGGATGACCACGTAGAATAGCAAAACAACTCCTCCTAATTGGCCAGATCAGTTTCGGTTTAGTGAACTCATAACAAAGTTTCTAGTAGTTTATATGTATATGTTTAAAATAGTGAATTTGACGTTTTAACGATGGAAACAAACTCTGAAGTTCATAGTGTATAGTACGAAGAGCGAAGAATAATATCATTAAGTTTCTAATCTTCAATAGTTGAAGCCATGCGTGAGATCGGTATTGCAGTGAGCTACGGCGTTTTAGTGCTAGGAAAATGTACTATAAACAATGTTTTGGGAAAATTCGACATTCAATTGAAGTAAGGTTTTATATTTGGGAAATGTTCTTGTGTGTGACAGTGTGGTGTGTTTGAATAAATATGTAATGTGCACAATGTATCTATATGGATCTATGTATAAATAAGTATGCATCTTTACAACATTGGTCCTCCTCGTAGCAATGAAGACTCATTACTCAGAGGAGGAACGGTTATCTAAATGGAATTTAGTCGAATGATTTCATCAACATAACTTAGGGCTTACTGTTGGGTACCTACAAAATATATAACGCAGTATGTAATATGCGTACGGTATATTAATCCATCTTAGTTATAAGCCTCTAAATCTTTTTTTACTCATAATTTCCTTCTTATCTTCTTTTGATGAAAATCTTTGAACTCTATAATATATTTACAATTTATACACTTGCTTTACCAGTGATTATGACGTTATATGTCTACGTAAGTGCTGAACTTATAATTGGAATAAAAACTCCAATACGGTTAAGGTTATCCGATGCAATGGCTATGTGATTACTAATGACCGACTGTATATTATTCAGTGTACGTATTATTTAACGTACAGTTATGATATCTCTTAACAACGTGAAAATTTAATATAAAATATGTTTCTGAGTGATAAAGGTCATATTTTATTAATGTACGCGAAGTAGTTCCTTCTTAAAACGGCTAGTATTAAACAAGTAAAGTTTACAGTCTCCATTAACGACTCGGTTACTTTTTAATTTCTTTTTCATTCAACTCATATTTTCAAGTAGGTATAGGTACTAATTAATATAACATTTTTTCTAGAAACTGAAAGTTATAACTAAAAGATGATCATTCATTGTCTAAAAAAAGACCAATCATTGTCTACGATGAGTGAGAATTAAAGCGCCTGTTAAATTTATTGTAGCAAGCTGCTTTAAAGTGGATTGCTAACAAATTCAGAAAGGCATATGGTCAGTATACAGTCGGGTCGGTATAAATTACCTATTAAGTAATAGTTGTTTTACTGTTTCATGGTTTATACCTAATACTACAAACGTGTAAGATAAAACTAAAACAGATGAATTCGAACTCCATAACATTGCTAATGTAAACAGGTGTAACTTCTAATTTTCTCAAAATTGCGGGTGCGTTAAATGCTCATTATTATCAATTTATTGTACAATCATCGGGATCATTTAAAAGTTTCTCTCAACCTTGTATCACTGCTAGAATAATGACTACTTTACGGTACAACGATGCCAACTCATAATTAGGTAACTTTACTTTCCTGCACGGTGTGTCTTCCCTTAAAGCTAAGAGGCCCCTCTCAAAAGTTTTTCAAGAACAAATGATAGTCATCAAATCATTTCTCACGCCCTGGATGGCGGCATGCGTGAGAGTGTCAGACGCTTTCTGACTAAATGCCACTTTATTGCCATTGCATAAAGTGCAAAATTGCGCTTGCACCGCCGTACCATCCGATGCTAAAGTTTATATTATAATATATATAAGGTTATACTAACCCTATAACATAATATATGATGTAACATGGTTCACACTTTTTTATTTGCGTCAGATATTATAAATCATAATCAATGTAAATTTTATAGATAGTTCCTCAATTTGCTTGTGTAATTCACTTGACTAAGTACAGTCAGTATCAAATGTCTAAGGACAGTCTGGTCTGGCAAGCAACACCTCAAAATATCGATATGTTGTACATACCTTAATAAATATTAATAGCTAACCGCCAGAATTATATAAAAGTACGAGTACAAGCCGTAGTTGAAGGATCAGGAAATGGCCATGAAAACCGTGATGCTCCAAGAATGATAGATTCATAGAGGTTAGATTATTTTAGAACTGCTATCATGTTTTTTAAAACACATATAAGAGCTACTTAAGTTTTATTGCGATGTCTTTCATACTTATTCTACCAGACTGACTTATTGAAACTGTTGGCTGTTACGGATACTAACGAAGTGCCATAAAATAATATTCTCCATACACTAGATCTACAAATAGCATAGAAACATTGAACGTAATTAGCAAACTTTAGTAAACTTTTAAGTATTATACTACGACTGTAATCACAAAATATTGCTGGTTTGGCTGTCATTTTCATTCTTAGCATGACGTCATAGACACGTATTTTGTTAACAATAAATGACGTTAACAATAAACTTATGTACCTATTGTATTGAAAACAATAAACAGTGATATGAAGAACTCTTAAATGTAAATCTGATCAAGGAACGATCTCCGGCCACCGTAAGCACGGGCCTGCGGTCGGCGAGTAAGGGCAGCTCGCCGCCCGACCAGAACCAGGCCCGAGCGTACGGCGCGTAGCGTTCCGCGCGCGCCTCAAAGAGCCATTAGACCACCACAGATGGGGCCCTAAAGGGCTGATGTTCAGCCAGTGTTGCGGGGTAAGCGCAATGAGGCACCGCGACCTCGGCACAGAGCAGGAGAAGGAACAGGGGGGTTTTTAGTCAGTAAGAGTCTGACACTCCCTCCTGCCCGGCCCTGGGCGGGAGAAGTCATTTGATTATTTTCCCCTCACAAAAAAATGTAAATCTAAAGAATAAGATGTGTCTGAGTTAGAGTCAAATCAGATAAAGCAAAAGTGTTTTATCATCATCATTAGTCTATATAAGTGCAAACCTTACATGGAAAAGGATATCTAAATAGTTACTTTGTATTGATGTTTTAATGTTTTTGTTGCGTTAACTCTTTGAGTACATTGCATGACCCTATTTTCTGATGCTAACTGTACTATATTAGTAAACAATGAAATTCAGGTTAAAAGTCAACAACAAAATTAAATAATAATTTTGATAAAGCGTTTTCCACAGTTGTGTTAAGTTAGTTAGTTTAGTTGTGTTGTGTTAAATTTACTTTCCCTTTAAAATTTTGGTCTTCATATTGCTCAAACAATAAGCCAAGACCATTATAAATATGAGTCATTAGTTTTTTAAAGTTTTCTTTATGAATTATACGAAATTATTGAACATGTAAAAATAGCGGTATATTTAACATAAATATATATTTATATAGTTTAAAGTTATGTTTTATGTATATAGATGAATTTTTTTGATTGCAGAATCATTATTTTTCATCATACGTATCCGCGCCTGCAACTTTTAAAGCTGCAATGTTTTGTAAATTAGCTACTAGTGAAAAGTTAGAAGGCACCGATAATGACTGATGACAGAAATGTATCTAGGGTTTGTGTGATATATATATAACTAGACATGTTAATTATTAAATCATACAAAATATTATACTGCTACTGGTATTCATGGCATATGAAATGAGCAGAATTCTTTTTTTCTTTTTTAAAAAACCTTGCCCCTCGCTAGGATTTTCTCCTGTGTCGTGGGTGCGTTTACAAACATACAATTCCACAAACACATCACACTCAGACCCGGAACAACAATTTGTGGATCACACATAGAGTTGTTCTGTGCGGGAAACGAACCCGCGTTCCCCTCCCAAATCCCTAATCACCAAAAGCACAGCAATGCACTCGAAACAGCTCCGTCGTTGTAAGTGTCCATGGGGGGCGCTGATTGCTTACCATCAGGTAAACCGTTTGCGCGTTCGGCGACCTATTACATAAAAAAACATCAAAACTACAGTTACCGATTATCCTGATGACTGTGGTTTTAATAATTGACAAGAGCAACGTACAAAAATTATTGATAGTAGAAAAAACGGATGAGTTTTTAGTCCGTAAGAGTGTGTGTGTGTGTCTCTCTCGCTCCACCTTGGACGAGAGAAGTCATTTGATGATTTTTCACTGGTAAATTGTCAATCGAACAAAAATTTAGTTATAAAACCTTTCCAATAGTACCAGTGTACATATGACCTAATGGAATTAATTTAAATGTTGACCTCATCAGTTTGAATTGTTATTAAATTTATTAGTACATACATATTAGCGTATACATATTTGAGTTTTATAATAAAAAGTTTTATACAGTACAACGTATTGTTGAAATTTCATTATTATTGTTGTGCTGATCGACGAAAACTGTCGTGTTAAGACAGGTAGAAATTTATTATTTGATTATTTATGATATATTGATTGGCTTACTAGAAGTAATGTAACTATTAATTTGTTAAATAGCCAATTAATTTGCAAAATTATTTACGTTTAATTAATTTTGAGCTACCAACAACCTGTTTTGCGATGGCTTAATAACTGCTACATAGGTTCCAGATACATTTTAATAAAGAATGTTATTTATACAAACCAGTGAGTTTGTTGAGAGCCATAGTTCTCATAAGTTTATTCATATAAATTTTGTGCAATACGCGTTTAGACTTCTCTCTTCTCCAAATTAACTCTCAATCTCAGTTAATATTAGAATATAATTACGATAAAGAACAAAGCAATGATTTTGCCACAAAATATTTAATATGCAGTGGTTTTATTATAAATATTAGGTAGTCAGCGAGCCACCTTTTTACTGATTCAGCATTTTTATATTTTTTTTCCAGCGAAATGGCGCCGTTTGTCGACGACACCGTTTACGTGGATTGGAGCACTCGTATCGTTTTCTACGCACTGGTAGCGGTTGTGTCTGGTCTATGGATGATACATAGATGGCAGCAGCAATCCAGATTATTTAGGTTGGGCAACGTTTTGCCAGGTCCTGAAGCTGTACCGTTTTTCGGCAACGCTCTCCTCGCTTTGGGAAAAAAACCTGATCGTAAGTAACTATTTCAATAAAATTCGTTAATAAAGTTAGTGTAATCAAATATAGGTCATAACAGTCTTTCGTTTGGTTTCTTTCATTTTGTTATCTTCAGCTATGTACCTAGTACAACACATAATCAATATAAGCAATGTTTATGATGGAGGATATTGGTAAACACGGCCTGTGTCTGCTTACTCGGAAAAGGTGTGAGCATTAATCGCCAAGCTTTGCAGTCGATTTCCATCATATAATTTGAAATACAAGTTCAGTTTCCGTCCAGGTGTTTTTCTGTCAATATGTCAGTGGTTCCACTACTTAATCTCCATCATATCCAATTTCATGTTATCCCAAGAAGAAGATTATAAAATAACTAAAGTTTAACATACTTAAAAGTGTATATGTATACGTTTCAGAATTGGTAAATGTCGCTCTTGAATATGCTGAAAGATATGGCACAGTAATCCGAGGTTGGCTTGGCACCAAATTGATAGTTTTCTTGCTGGATCCCGAGGATATTGAGGTCATACTCAACAGTCAAGTTCACATCGACAAAGCTCCTGAATACCGATTCTTTAAACCATGGCTTGGAGAAGGTCTTCTTATTAGTACTGGTAAGCATTTTTAACTTGTTCTACAATGTTGATCTCATTACATTAATATAGAACTCAACTTTCACCTCGCCCTTTCTACCAATTTCGTGATACATAAGGTTTTACGCGACATCGACACAGCAACGGGAAACATGTCCAAATTTTCAATAAAAAAATCAACAATACTATTGCGAAAGCTTATCATTACTGTTAGGACCACCCGGAGGACACGGTGGAGCATAAAGTGATAGTCCTTAACGTACAGCATCGCGGACCTAGGGTAGAATAAGGAACCAGGTATTTTTCAGTCATTAAGAGTCTAACACTTCATCACGCTTCATCCACGACGTGAAGAGTTAAAACAATAAATAAATCATATTTCGTGCCAATATGCAATATCTATTGCGAAGCAGTAGTATACATACAGTCGCAGTCAAGAACTAGTTTATTGCAAGTAAAAAGTGTATCTTGTGATATAAGAAAATAATAATTTCTGCTTATTGCTTTTTCTTACGAACTTGTGTACTTAATATGCTTTTTCATTTATATAAAAATGCGATGTTCGTAAGAACAAGTGTGGGAGAGCCATGCTTCGGCACGAATGGGTCGGCTCGACCGGTGTGATACCACGGCCTCACAGAAGACCGGCGTGAAACAACCACAGCGTTGTGTTTCGCCGTGTGAGTGAGGTTACCGGAGGCCCAATCCTTCCCCGCCCCCAATCCCTCCTCAATCCCTAAATCTCCAAATCCCTAAAGGTCGGCAACGCGCTCGTAACTCGGTGTCCATGGGCGGCGCTGATTGCTTACCATCAGGTAATCCGTCTGCTCGTTTGCCGACCCATTACATAAAAAAACCCAAAGGTAATGATTGAATCAATGTACTAAAAAACCAATTAGTACAGTTGCTATTTGCATTTTATTACCTAAATCGAAGTCACTTTGATGTGAACTTGGTATTTAAATTATCACGTTTCATCAAAGATAAATTATTTCAACAATAAATTTCAATACATTAGTAATTACAATTACAATAATTATTTGAAAACAAATCACCTTTTATGAATTTAAATAGGACAGCAGTCTTGGGTAGCGTCGTACGAGTATATATGCTGTATGCTGGCCAAGCAGGCTTAGCGTGGTCGTGATGACCACCGATGCTAAACACGTACACACACCGATGCAAACATTTTTTTTCAATGACGAACGTTGACCCACACTAGGATTACATTAGTTGATTCTGAGTCTAAGGAGATAAGCACGTTTTTTTTATATATAAATTGTAACAAAATATGAAAAACGAGGATATAAATGTTTATAGGGAATAAAAAAAAACAATACGTTGGTAATCGAAACACACCACACGGTACTTTATTATTCACAAGTAAAATTATTGTTTTTAATTTATAATTCTAACTAATTTTAATATTTAATTCACTATAAATAACATGGAAATTCTGAGCCTCTTAGGTGAAATTATTTTACAATACATTCATTCATGTTTACAGGAAACAAATGGCGATCTCACCGAAAAATGATAGCTCCAACGTTCCACATCAACATTCTGAAATCGTTCGTTGGAGTATTCAACCAAAACAGTAAGCATGTCGTCGAAAAACTGAGAAAGGAGGTTGGAAAAACATTTGACGTTCATGACTACATGAGCACTGCTACTGTGGATATTTTGTTAGGTAAGAATAGAATATAGAATAAATAAGTAAACAGATTTATTTCGTTAACACAATTCAAAAATAGAACATCGATATTTAATTGAATTTGAAAGACCCTACTCCCTAAAAGCCCTGCAACCTACTCGTAACGTTGGTGTGTCCATCGGTGGAGCCGATTGCATACCATCAGGTAAACCGCTTGCCCGTTTACCGACTTATCACTAACGTTGCGTTAGCGTTAGCGTCGATTAACGACTCGGCGAGTAAGGGCAGCTCGCCGCCCGACCAGAACCAGGCCCGAGAGTACGGCGCGTAGCGTTCCGCGCGCGCCTCAAAGAGCCAATAGACCACCACAGACGGGGCCCTAAAGGGCTGATGTTCAGCCGGGGTTGAGGGGTAAGCGCAATGAGGCACCGCGACCTCGGCCCAGAGCAGGAGAAGTACAGGGGGGTTTTTAGTCAGTAAGAGTCTCACACTCCCTCCCGCCCGGCCCTGGGCGGGAGAAGTCATTTGATGATTTTCCCCTCACAAAAAAAGCATTGACTAACGACCTATATAAATGTATATATAACCACTACTATAAGTCATAAAACCATTAAATCCTCTTAAATTTATAATAGCTTTATAAACATGGCAAATATATATAGAGACTCATCATATCTTAAAAAATAAGCTTACTTCTAATAATTAAAACTTTGTTGTTCTAAGTTAAAACACAAATATTTATTCTTTCCAGAAACTGCAATGGGTATCACAAGAAAAACTCAAGATGAATCAGGTTTTGACTATGCGATGGCTGTTATGAAGTAAGTAATTACACATTATCAAGCAAATAGTAGTTTTCTTCAAAACGAATTTATTTACAAACATTTTTTGTGTTTTCATCATTGCAGGATGTGTGACATTATTCATCAAAGGCACTACAAATTCTGGCTACGATTTGACACAATATTCAAATTCAGCTCTTTCTTTGAAAAACAAAAACAGCTTCTGGGTATTATACATGGACTTACGACGAAGGTGCCAGCTACATTTATTAGTTTAACGTTTACTTTTCAGCAATTATATTTGAAAAGATACTCTTTTTCCCACTCTTTGTAATTAATCGTATTTACTTCGTAATTTCCTTGCACGAAGTTATTTTATTTATTCATATTTTTTTAATAAATGTTTATTTTTCAAAGATTGAAAAGTGATTAATGCTCAAACCTTCTCCGTCTGAGAAGAGGACTTAGCTCAGCAGTGGGCACATATAGTCTGATGATGTATCTCTCTGTAATACGAACGTTCAAGTGTAAACAATTAATATTCATACACCATTTTCTTATCCAGGTGATTAAAAATAAGAAACAAACATACTTTGAGAACAAAGATAAAGGCATCATACCACCAACGCTGGCAGAACTGACGAGAAATGAAGAAGATGGAAGTCTTCTAGCAAATGATGCTAAATCACTTTCTGATGCGGTTTTCAAAGGCTACCGTGATGACTTAGATTTCAATGATGAGAATGATGTTGGTAAGGAAATGTCTTCTGTTTTGCATGCGAACAAGACTTTTAAAGTTAATATTGAATGATATGACTCATTAATATAATAATAAGAAGTGTGGAAGAGCCATGCTTCGGCACGAATGGGTCGGCTCGACCGGAGTGATGCGACGGCCTCACAGAAAACCGGCGTGAAACAACCACAGCGTTGTGTTTCGACGTATGAGTGAGGTTACCAGAGGCCCAATCCTTCCCCTCCCCCAATCCCTCCTCAATCCCTAAATCTCCAAATCCCTAATCCCTAAAAGGTCGGCAACGCACTCGTAACTCCTCCGTTGCGAGTGTCCATGGGCGGCGCTGATTGCTTACCATCAGGTAATCCGTCTGCTCGTTTGCCGATCGTTTACATAAAAAAATAATAATAATATGTATGAAATGTAGAAAGTGTTCAAATTGAGACTAATAGAAATACAAAACCTTGCAATCATTTGGCTTATCAATAGACTGAACTCAAGATCAGTAGGTATTGAAATTTAACCCAACTCAGCTCTGTGTAAAACTATAATGTACCTTTTATCATTATTTCTAGTCAATTTATTGAAACTATTCTTACATATACAAAATGTAAGTAATTAGGAATTTTAACATAACACAACACATTAACTTTATCATATTAGCCTAACTGGTATCGATCTGTTTCTTCCAGGCGAAAAGAAACGACTGGCTTTCTTGGATCTCATGATTGAGTCAGCTCAAAATGGCACTCATCAGTTAACTGACCATGAAATCAAAGAAGAAGTGGATACTATTATGTTTGAGGTGAGTATAAGTAACAAATACTTTCAACATATTCCGAATACCCGTATAGAAAGACCTTTGCGTTCCGAATATGGCTTTGTTATAACTTTATCCGTTTTCTAATAGTCCTTTTCTTAAATTGGTTAGTAAAATGTTCCAGGGTCACGATACTACAGCCGCTGGTTCCAGTTTCGTCCTATGTCTACTGGGTATCTACAAAGATGTTCAAGCAAAGGTTTACAACGAATTGTACGATATTTTCGGTGATTCTGACAGACCAGCCACTTTTGCCGACACTTTGGAAATGAAATACCTCGAAAGAGTCATCCTGGAAACTTTGAGGTTGTACCCACCAGTACCAGTCATCGCAAGGAAACTGAACAGCGATGTTAACATTGGTAATTATAATTTTCTTTATTAGGTTCCAAGAAGTATATAGAAATGACTACACTATTGACGCGGTGGCTGGGCAACTGGCTGCCGTACAACGTGTCGCGGGGTCAATCCCGGGTCTGGGTTTGATGTGTATATAAATTGTACACATATTCGTAAACGCACTCACGATACTGGGGAAAATCCAAAACAGGGCAAAGTTTTTTATACAAAAAAAAAATCATTTTACACTAGCTACTGCCAGCGGCTTCACCCACAGTACCGGGGTGCATAGTACCGTATGTATTATGCCAGATTTGGCACAGTAATATCAGAAATTCGTTTAGCAGTTTTTATGTGAGACAGTAACAATCATTAAAACTTCCTCAATTCTTCAATATTAGTACGTACGTACACCAGACACTACACCCAGTTGATTTTAGCATTTACATTGAGTTCTCTCTAACTGTTCACCATGATACTCTTTGCATACAACAATAATTAGCTACACAGTTGAACGCCTAGTATGAATTTTATTCACGTTACAGTGACCGAAATTTTACCGCGTTTGGTCATTTGATTGATTGATTAACTTGAAGTTTGTCACAACGAATTAATCAACTTGGGCACTCTGGAGTAAGTGCGATTCCCTGGATGTACCTCCAAAATATGGCCGGCTCAGTGCTACTTCAACTCGCTCTTAATTCATTCTGTTGTTATTATTTTCAGTCACCAACAACTACCTCATCCCTGCTGGCACTACGGTTGTTATCGGAACGTACAAGGTCCATCGCAGCCCCAAACATTACAAGGACCCTGACACCTTCAACCCTGACAACTTCCTACCTGAGAACATGGCCAACAGGCACTACTACAGCTACATACCATTCAGCGCCGGACCCAGGAGTTGTGTCGGTTAGTAAAATTTCTTTACTTTTGATAGAAACTGATGTTGCTGTGTCCTATTTACTGATGGGTTTATCCATCTAGAGAGCTTTTAGAGTCTTATCTTAAGAGTATTAGCTCACCATATGTGTGAAAAACATCATCAGCCTATAAGAACCCACTGCTGTGCACAGACCTTTTCTCACAAGGAGAAAGTTTGTGCATTAATCACCACGCTTACTCAAGGCGGATTGGTGATTTTAAACTCATAATAAGAAACTATAAGTCCAGGTTCACCATTTGTCACATTCATCATTTGTCTGTAAGCCAAGCACAGGGGTCCCAACCTCAGAGAATGGCATGTCCCAACATAGGATGTTGATCTAACGATCCAAACTATATTACTATTTCTGTTTGAATGTAACTATGTAATGTATAATGCAATAAATTTTGCAGGTCGCAAATACGCCTTGCTGAAGCTAAAGATTTTGCTGTCCACAATTTTGAGAAACTACGAATGCACATCCAGTGTACCTGAGAAAGACTTTAAACTCCTTGGAGACATTATTTTGAAAAGATCAGACGGATTTAGACTCCAGATCGAACCCAGGATAAGGAAACCAACAAATGTTGCATAGCCTTATTTATTAATATTGTACCAATTACATAAATATGTACCTAAAATGAACTAATATTTTCATTATCTTTGTCATGTTTAACTTAAACAAAGACTATATTAGTATTCATTTATTTATACATTTATACAATACTTAATTATGTGACGTAAGTACCTACATAAAGTGAAGAATTGTAGACTGTTTTGTAAAAAATAAAGTTATTTTTTAAGTGTTGATTGCTTTTAGCTTTTATACACGAACGACTGGGTATTTTTTTGCTCTGACGTATAGGAATCATAGATATACAGGGTTTGAAACCTGTCAACTAACATACTTTGTTCTTTTGAGGGGGGAATTACTTAATCTTTAAATTACTTCACTCAGCCTGGGTAAAACTCCTAAAACTGGCTCCGGCCCTGGGCCGGGCTATATTATTCCGCTTGATTATACCCCGGCTGTTTGACACAAACAACCAAAAAAATACACCTATATAATGTCTTAATCTAAGGTTACTCTTCGTTTTTTGTGTCAGTCGTAAACATATTATTATAGAGCAGAAAGTGACGAAACTTCATCATCGTCATCATCAGCCTGTTGTCGTCCACTGCTGGACATAGGCCCAATTGAACGCCACTGAGCTCGATATTCAGCTCTTCCCATCCAACCACTGCCAGCCACCCTGCGGATGTCGTCAGTCGACCTAGCAAGGGCCCCTACACTGCGTTTGCCTAGACGCAAACGTCTAGGCAATCGCCTAGCGCAAGCGTCTGTTCTAGAGTGGAGACGTGGTCTCCACTCTAGAACACGTTAACGAAATTTAAACTTACTATAAAAAGTGTGTAGTTAGTTAGATATTCAATCCAAATCGCAAGTGTGATAGTTCATTCCTTCATAGCACAAGCATTCACACACCTTTTTTATACCCCCTTATTTCACTAAGACTAGTTAGATTACTGATGAAATTAAAATCTGTATCTCTGGCAGACTTCAAAACTCCAGGTCTCGTCTAAAAAAATCGAAGCAAGCTCGATGAATACCGCTACAGTAATTACGTAAATATTACACACACATATGACATAAATATTAGTATATATTATAATACGCCATATTTCATTTAATTCCTTTAATGCAAGCAAAGATCATAAACAAATGCACATTTTAAAGGTATAAAACCTCTTTCATAGATTTCTAACAGACGTTATGTTAATATTGGAATTCAATATAACTATTAACACTACAACAATTAATATTTCATCAATAATGCAAATTGATGCGAAGTAAGTAGGTTACAAAATGTGACCTAATTGCATTGTTATTATCTAGCTTATTAGTTACATTGTTACTTACTCGCTAATCACCTAGTAATTTATGAAAAATCCATTCACCATCCCTTGTTTAAATAAAAAACTGAGCTTTGTATATTATATATAACAGATAATAATACAATTTTATTGAGTAAATATTAATCTTGAATATACAGGTGTGTTTATAGCTACAATTAGTTCAGAATATTAGGTGCCTTAACTAGGAAATACTGGATTTCAGGCGAGAGTTGGTGAAAAATATCTGAGTTGGTATATAATAAGCATAATGAGGTACATAATTGTTTTTAAGAACATAAAAGAATGTTACAATTTATACTAAAAATATTAAGCTTGAGGATACTACTCCTTCTCCTACTACTAGGATAAACTCTATGTTAATGTTTAAAAAAAAATTAAAAGTGTAATTACGACAATTATTTAGGAACTAATAATAGTTAATATTTATCTGTGCCTTAAAAGCGCTTTCTTAGCGCCAAAAAGGCGGGCAATGCACTTTTCTTATGCAACAAGCTCATCACACCCTTCTAAACTACTTCAACTCCTGTAAACCAGGATCTACAGTAGTATACCGATATGAAAACACTGAAGTCTGGCGCTTCCCAGGGACATGAATGACGGTCTTGGATCCCGCAACGAAATAAATCAGAAGATATTATTTGAGAAGAAGAAAACTAACTAACTTATAAGTTCTCTGGTAATTTGGGTGTCTATGAACAGCGACTATTCTTCCTATCAGGTTATACCGGAGATCAATTACCGCCTAATGCCTAAAAAAATTTTTTTTGCACGTATAATGAAATATGTCATATGAAAGGATTCTATCATCAAAATGAAATAAAATATCAACCCATTCTTTTCAGTTTGTTAGTTAAACGATCCCACGTATATACCTCCCATTTTTTTGGAGAGACAATATCGTTAAATGGCTTCTCCCGTTTTGGGTGGTGAGGAAAGTCAAAATCTTACTGGCTAAAAACCACTCCGTTCTGCTGCTTTGGACAGGGGTCCAGTTGATTATTCCGCTTAGGAGGTTCAAAAATCACTTTACTTAAGAAACTTACCCCCGGTTACCGATCAATGTTAAAATTAATTTAATCTCTTGTCAAGTCATCTGATTGGTTGACTGAATTATTAACAACCAATCAGATGACTTGACAAGAGATTTAACAGGAGATTTGTTAATTTTAGCCTTAACAAGCCTTTCAGAAACCGGGTGTAAATAACCATTTTCTAATACATACATACCATTTACTGTGCCTACGTGTAAGTATTGTATAAATTATATGGCTCAACTGTTTATCAACAATAGTAAATTACGAAGCAGAATTACCCATTCTTAGTGTATTCCTTGCGAACAAACTAACATGCGATTAATATTTATTTGATTGACGTATACTCGAAATCTTAATTAGTATTAAATCAAGCACATACCGTCGTCGTGCTCAGAGAGACATTTTAATTGTTACTTAAATTATTCTGTAGTTACTATTTTGTTCTGAAAATAACTGCTAAGAACTGGGTTAGATGGCCATAAACTGTCTTGAAGTTTGGCAGGAAACTAAAATTATCTTAGGTTAGGTAATATTGTTCGGGTAGAAAGTGTGGGAGAATCATGTTCATGAATGTGTCGGTTCGACCGACGTGAAACAACCACACCGTTGTGTTTCACCATGTGAGTGCGGTTACCAGAGGCCCAAACCCTATCCCTTCCTAATCCTTAAATATCCGAAACCCTTATCTGTCTATAGATAATAGGGAAAAATACATACTTACTGCTGAACGTAGCACGAAATTCTACGTTCGACATACATAGAGTCCGATAAAACACATAGCTGATACGTAGATGCCTACCATTTTTTTTAAATAGGTTGTGTGCAACTCATAGATTAGAATCATGCTCAGTGTAGTATGTTAAAAAAATCTTTAAGCATGAACTTTTTAAATTAGTTTAAAAAAAATCAGTTACCTACGTATTCCCATTTTTTACCTATCCTATTCCATTTATAGGTAACACTGACTTGTAAATGTAAGACTGGCGGTAAGCAGTGCAGTGTTATACATAAACATCAATACAACTGTAATAAAAAATAATATACTTAAATCATCTCAGAACATCACTTGGATCGAACGTGTTTTGAGGAATTGTTCGGTTTGATCTCCGCCATTCTAAGCGAAAACGTTTCCATCCCTATCGCATAGATGGCAGTCAGCAACTGTGCGATTTATGCGAAACTTTCTGCTGCGCACAGCAAAACTAGTATGAACTTCCGGCGGCAGTATTTACGAACCGATACGACCTACAAACCGCGGCCGGCAACGCGCCGGTGACTCCTCTGGTTCCGCAGGTGTTCATGGGCGGCGCTGACTTACCATCAGGTGATCCGTCAGCTGGTTTGCCTCCTAGTCCATAAAAAATAGAAAATACGTAGAGCATCTAATTCAGTCATAGGACTCGTGATCACTTCACAAATACCACATTAAAAAATGACAAAATTAGGTAAAAGGGTCGAATGTTATCCAACGACGTGCGTTTACGAATGTTGTTTGTTTATTGGTAGGTATTTTAATTGTAATTACACGTGAGACATTACGTCTGTAACATTAGGTAATTAAATGAGTTTTTGATACAAAATACTTTACTTTTTTCACTAGCTATTGTCTGCGACTTTACTCGAGCCTATACAAGTACATTTAAATCTTTAGAATACTACATGTAACTTTTTGTTCCGAGACTCAAAGTCCATCATGACAATAACGTATGATGACCTTGAAACAGGGGATGGAACGGATTGGTTTATAGTCAGTAAAAATCAGACATTCCTCCTTGCCCATTTTAAGAACCTAAGCGAGGATTAAAAATCAAACTATTTACCATTTACCTCAGTTCCCACCAATAATAATCAACATGAAAACAGCAATTTAGGTGCTAACGCACAATTGTTACACATACGAACCAACAAATAAACCCACCTGTAATGCCAAATATTGCTATTAAACATTTTACACCATTTTAACAAAAAAAAACACATATTCGAGGTTTAATTTCGTATTATGGTTCCGTATTAAATCAATTATTTTACAGTATAACAATATAATTCTGAAAATTGAAACTTGAATTTATATGCTCCCTTTTATATTTTTATATAAATGCCGTAATACAAAGCGTCTTACCTATTTTAATCTCGATAAGCAGTAGAAATCCAAATAATCCCAGTCAATTTATAGCATATAAAATATTTGACAGCAACAAATATTTCGAAAATGAATGTTCTGTTTTAACTACTTCGTGTTTCCTACTTCATTTTCCCTCGTAAGTACACAAAGTAGAAAAATGTTTGAGAGCCAAACTTGTAAAGTAACGACAAAATTCCACTTGAAAATGTAGAAGAGCTGAATCCATAGAATCAGTTTCAATGCAAGAAGGTCTGCAACGAGCCGTTGCCGTTTTTATAATCAAATATCTAAATGTGGATTAAGGTCAGCTTCTGTGCAAAAGGAGAAGTAGAATAAATGCTGAAATCAAAACAATATACAAAATGTAAGGATTGAATGTCGAAGAAGCCATCTGGGATTATGGGAGCAAATGCAATTGGTACCGCGAGCCGGCTCGAACTCGCGGTACCAATTGCGGCAAAGTAAGCGAAGGAACTGGGTAGTTTTAGCCTGTAAGAGTCTGATATTTCCTCTCGCCCTACC